GAAAAATGCTCCTTCGCTCCCTAAAAATCTGGATGTTGTTGTTTTTCTTGTTGACGATGGCATTACTAATGCTTCACGTTAACCCTTTCTCTCCCGCGCAGTGTCTAAATGCAGTGCGGACAGTGCAGAGCCTCGCGTGTTTGGACGAGGCCGATCACACAGTTGGTTTCCTGCTGCAGCTCTCGAGCTTCTGTAAGGAGTGGCAGTTCCACCTGCCCAAACTGCTCAGAGATGTACAGGTAAGTCCAGAGGAAAGCGCCTCGTCAGCAGAGATAACACCACAGCAACACTTCAGTGTTCAGTTAGTCAGTGTGTGTCTTTCTGTCTCCTCCCTGCAGGTAAACCTGTGTTATCTGTGCCAGACCTGCACGTATCTGCTCCACAGCAAGAAGATGCTGCATCACTACCTCCAGGTCAGAAACCAGGAATATATGATGTCATAGTGACAAGCACTGCAGCATCATTACATTTCTGTTCTGTATTATAACCAACGTGACATACAAAGAGTTTGTTTTGGATTTATGTTTAGGCCAAAAATGGCGAAGCGTTGCCTCCCGTTCCCCATCCCAGGACGCAGCGAGCGCCCCAAACCCCGTCTAAAGAAGCAGCCGGTGGAGGGGAGAGAGAGGAGGCTGAGCAGAAGGCCTTGTTGGCGGTGCAGTGCAGTCTTCTGAAGATCCTCAGCAAAACCCTGGCAACTCTGCAACGCTTCACTCCAGACTGCTGCCAGATACTCCTGGACCAGGTCAGCATCCTTTCTCTGCTCCAACGGTTCCTCTTTCTCCAAAATGAGTCTAATAATTAGTTATATTTCCATCAGCGGCACAAGAAACTGTTTCTGTGTTCATATCTTTGCATAAAAGACAACAAGATGCTGATTTGTGTCCCGGCCTGTGTGTCAGAGTATGGACCTGGCAGAGTATCGAACCCTGTTTGTGCTCAGCTTCACGACTCCGGCGTTTGACCCCGACGTGCCTCCTTCGTTCGGGACCCTGCTGGCCGCCATCAACGTGGCCCTGAGCATGTTGAGCGAGGTAGATGTTCAATGTGAATGTAGTAATTTACAGCCCCCCTACAGCAGATCCCTGACTGTTTTTTTTCCCCTTTGTTCATAGATGGAGAAGAAGAAAGAGCCAGTTTCATTGAGCATAGCCTCACTGGCCTCATCAGAGGAGATCCAAGCTCTGAAGTGAGTAAAGTTTATTTCCAACTATTTAACTATTACTAATTTCACTTCTTTCTTTTGCTTCAGAACTTTCAGTTTACACTAACTTCTTTTTCTTCAGGTCCTTGCTGATGTTCACCATGGAAAACTGTTTCTACGTGCTGATCTCTCAGGCTGTTCGATGTCTCAAAGATCCCTCCATCCTCCCCCGAGACAAACAAAGACTCAAACAGGAGCTCAGCTCTGAACTGGTGAGACATCATTTCTTTGAAGTCTTCTGTATACTTTTTAAGAGTCACAATATGTCACAAAGTATTGAGTCGGGACTGACACATTGATGGTTTTGGTCTTTTCATTTGATTTGCTGACGATAAGAGGAAAACACAATAACCCCCGACTTATTCTTGACAAAAACATATTGGAATATAATGTCGTTTTTTTTTCCACCACCAGAGCACTCTACTCTCGAGCCTTTCCCGCCACTTCCGCAGGGGCTCTCCATCATCTCCGGCCAGCGGCATCCTCCCCTCCACCCAATCCAAGCCACCCACACCGGGCTCTAAGGCCAGCAATGAAGGCCAGGAGCCGTTAATCCAGCTTGTTCAGGCCTTCGTAAGACTCGTGCAGAGGTAGACATAGATTTCCATTAGGAGGCACAAACGAGGAAACCCCCTAATGTTGTTGATGTACCTCCAGTATTGCCATCAGAAAACATTCTTATGAACAGTTATTGCAGTAGTTGAATTAGCACAAATGTGTGACTGAGAGTGAGCGTGTTTATTCTAATGTGATGTAATGATTGGAACCATAATTTGCAGAACATTTCATCTTGTCAAAACTGCTGTTGTAACTAAATTTGACATGACCACAACCAAAGTGTTTACTTTAAAAGGCCAACGAGGAGATTGTAAAAAAAAAATTTAAAAAAACGTGTTTTATGGAGAGATCTGAGTTTGTAGATCTTGGTGCTACTAAACATCAGTCATTGACTGGTTTTGTCTTTCCAAGGCCTAGTTTTATAGGTCACTTTGATGATACGTAATGACCAGACATGTTTCAAGTGCTACTTAAAAAGAATTAGACCTTCATATATAATCGTCTCCTGTATGACTAAATGTAGTAGAAAAGCTTGTTCTCGTAAGCTCCATTATACCTTTTCTAATTCTCTTAATTTTCAATAAATCTTGTTCTGAACTTTCTTATCTGTGCTTATCTATGTATACATTTTGAAGCGGCAACCAAGATTTGTACTTAAAAACAAATGTATATGCTAATAAAGGGACTTTTGTACCGCAATTGGGTTTCATCATTACCATTTTTCACTGAACACTAAATAGTCCTGAACCAGCCAATACATAAACAAAACAAATATTTAAAATGAAGGAATTCGTTTTTACTCGTGTTTTCTTTAAAAATAAACTTTTATAACTTCTGAACCTAAAATAAAAACTCTCATATTGGTCCGTTTAACATGAAGCCAGAGCCAAGAGAAAGTTGGTGTAAACTGAGAACAAGTAGAAATGGCTGCTAAGTTAGTTACTATGACAATAGTACTAATGTACTAGCAATTGTATTCATGATCTTTTTTTTGATGTGATACACCTGGACTTTTATCATAAAAAGTAACTTTTAAAATAAAGTAACTAAAACTAACTTTTAAAATAAAGTAACTTAAAAAGTAACTTCAAAAATACAGTAATTGAAAAAAGTCTCAAACGGTCATGTACAGCATGTCGAAAAAAGTCTCAAACGATCATAGTATAGCATGTCAAACGATCATATAAAAGCCATTCAATCAGGAGAGAGACTTCAATAGAATTTCACAATGATTTATTACACATTGTACAAATTTGAATGGTGCAACGTCTTTGGAAAATGGACTCCATCTTGAAGGAAGACAATCAAGGGCTGGTGATGCTGAGGTCGGATAAGGCATAATCCCGCTGGAGTCCAGTCACTGGTCGTGGTGTTGATGAAGGGAGTTGATGCCATTATAAACGTCATAGCATGTCGAAAAAGTCTCAAACGGTCATAGTATAGCATTTCGAAAATTACTTTTTTAGTTACTTTATTTTTAAAGTTACTTTTTTAGTTACTTTACTTTTAAAGTTACTTTTTTTCGACATGCGATGACGTTTTTATCTTTTTCGACATGCTATACCACTACGTTTTTATGTTTTTCGACATGCTGTACTATGATTTTTTTAAATCTTTTTCCACATGCTATACTATGACTCATTTTGTAATCCTTTTCGACGTGCTAAACTATGACATTTTGATTGCCTTTTTCGACATGCTATATGATGACGTTTTTAGGTTTTTATAACATGCTATACTATGACGTTTTTATGTTTTCATAATATGCTATAGTATGACGTTTTTATCTTTTTCGACATGCTATACTATGACGTTTATAACTCTGCATCAACACCCTTCATCAACACCACGTCCAGTGACTGGACTCCAGCGGGATTATGCCTTATCCGACCTCAGCATCACCAGCCCTTGATTGTCTTCCTTCAAGATGGAGTCCATTTGCCAAAGACGTTGCACCATTCAAATTTGTACAATGTGTTTATTGTGAAATTCTATTGAAGTCTCTCCTGATTGAATGGCTTTTATATGATCATTTTTTGACATGCTATGCTATGATCATTTGAGACTTTTTTCGACATGCTATACTTTTACTTTTAAAAATAAAGTAACTAAAAAAGTAACTTTAAAAATGAAGTAACTAAAAAAGAAACTTTAAAAATAAAGTAACTAAAAAAGTAACTTTTAAAATAAAGTAACTAAAAAAGTAACTTTTTGTTACTTTTTTATGTTTAATTATCTATACATGTTTTTAGAGCAATAAGCCATCTTCTTATTGCCAGGTTGATATATTCTCCTCACTGCAGGGCAAGTGTTCTATTAGAAAGTGAATCAGTCATGAGTTCCTCCCATAACAAAAAGCCAGGAGTTGTTCAGCTATACTTTAAATGGTAATAAGATGTAAATAGATTAATTGAAGTGGTCATCTGTCTATTTAAAGAGCTAGGTAAAGAATATGTGTTCATTCTTAATAAAAATGCCTAATTATTTATCATCAATAATCAATTTGTCAGAACTTGCAACCTGACCTGTCGCCTCACAGCCCTGAGGGTGAAGAAGACCCGAGCGAAGATGTTGGAGACCCAAGACATCAAACTGTGACAGAGTTAAGAGAGAAGCTCTCATCACCAGAGACTTGTCACAGCGCCACTTACACCGGCCAAAAAAAGAGACTGAAAGATAGGACAAGGGAAACCAACAGCGAGGATGACCGATGGAGACAACAGTCTACAGGGAGTCTGAAAAATGAGCGGCAAAAGGTTTATGATGTCAAGGGGGAGCTGCCTCCCATTGTCTGAGACCAAAAGTATTCAGGTTGCTTTCTGTATTCATTTTATAGTATTCTTATGTTATTAAATATTAAAAAGGACCTCTGCATAAAACACTTATCATTGATGAATTGGTGAATTTTGGTTGCCCTTCAGAGCTGAGGCTGAAGCTCTGCTCTCCTTTATCGTCTTCTTTTCACTCAGAGTTCATTTGTTCATCATTTTGCTGAAATCTATTAATAATTATTGACTTGCTGAATGTTAAAATGTGTTTTAATGATTTATCTGATAAATCAAATTGTCCTGGCAACTCTACACCTATGGCATGTTTCTTATTTAATCTGTAAATATGTGATTAATGAGTGTATGAGTATATAAAACTACTATGCTTCTGCCTATTTATGTTGAACGCTGCTGTAAGATTCACGTTATTAATCTCGCAAATGCAAAACAAATGAGATCGTCATGCTCCGTTTTCAATGTTGCATATAAATATAATTTATTATTAGTCTTAAAAATTCTTTCTTACACTTTGTACAATAACTTGACAGATGAAATGCAAGCAGTTTGCGAGGAACATCATGAGTGCCAGAAACAGACAAGGCTACATTCTCACTACACACAATAAAAATCATGAAGCTGAAGAACAACGAGGGAATGCAAAAGGCTAGCCCACTGAGAATGTAAAGATTGTTTCAGAAAGACGCAACGTTTGCATAGACGGCTTTACGAAAACTGGGACAACTGCCGTTAAAAAAAACAAAATAAAACCAACAACACTTTGAAACAGTCACAAGTGCTGCTGCATCAAGGGAACGTTGCATTTTCAACTATCAGATATTTTTATGCACACATTCAGTGTCATCAGAATGCTGATGGCTTCTGTCATTAATGTACAAACACAGATGTCTGAGTCTGTTCTCCAAAACGACAGATGAAAGTCATTCAGTTCTGAACACAATGAATGACACTTTTTGAATGATGTGCAATAGTTAAGATGGCCGCCCTCTGTTTGACCTCAGACACTGTATGTCAATTATTTGGTACAAAGCAGTTGTATTCAGTTGCATTGGTCCTACAAAAAATATACTTATTTGATTCCCTTTCTCCAGTATCTACCTCTCCTCTCTGCCTAGTCTCTTTAATGTATAATCTTGGAACAACATACAAATCATCAGCATCAGTCATGAGTTTTATTCAGTATGGTAATATTGTCTCGACCGCCCTATATTTAGGGGCGATAAATTGATGTAATTAGCCAAATGACCTAATAATAAACATGCAAAGAAAATAAAGAAAAATCATAACCAATGCAACTTATCAAAAGTATTTCAAAGACCGAAACAATAATCACGTAAAATAAGCACACACAATTGAAAATCATTACTTATACATGACATGAATAAAAAGTATTAAAAGTAGTTACGACAACAAGACTTAAGTTGTAAAATGGTTACATCATTGATTTCCCTCCTCTGTACACGTAAAGGAGTCATTACTGCACGAGTCCAGCTGGAGGTGCTATGATACAGTCAAACATAATGGAACAGGAACAAAAAAATATATTCCTTAACAGACAGCGTAAAATACCAAAAAGATATGTATAAATAGGCATATTATTAAATACTATGTTAACACAGGACACATACTCATCCATGGAGATGCTATGGAGATGTTTCCTCTGATTCAAGCAGTGTTCCTTTGCTCCTTTGACCTTTGATAGTGTCTCACGTCTCAGACTGTTGTCTATGGCAAGGGCCTCATCCACTAATACGCAGTCTATCCAAATAACCGGACAGCTGTTTCCAAGGAAACAAGAGCCAAAAATATCAAGTCGTTGTACCAGAAAGAGAGAGAGAGAGAGAGAAACAGCCAGAGAGAAATGACAGAGATTCTTGTTTACCCCTCCAACTTTTTACACCCTTTGTTGCCACTGTTTAACTGGGTCATGGCTGAGTAGACCTCGCGGTTTCTTTTTTTATTACACACCCACACACGGTACCTGTGAGTGTGTATCTGCATTTGTCATCGTGATGCCAAATGACTTCGCCTGCTTTTCAGGCGTCCACGTCTCTTATTTTCTTTTTATGCCTTCTTCCTCCCTGGAATGTCACACTCCCCGGTGGGCAGATGTCAGTGTTCAGTCGCCGCAGGAACGAGGCCGTCGTGGCGTCCCATCTCCTCCAGCACCTGGGCCAGGCGACCGAGGTTGCCGTCGGGAAAATGCTGGGCCTCCCACAAGTCCAGGATCACTCCCGTAGGAGTGGATTTGGTGGCAAAGTAGTTAAGATACCTGGGTAAAGGATTGTGGCAAAACACATGGATGGAAGAAAAAGGAAGTAAGAGACAAATGTTTGTTTTCTTGAATTACAACACAGGACTTGGCTGTGTGCGCTGACACGGTTTTAAAAATGTCTACCTTCGGAAAGACTTTATATGAAGGTCATGTCTAGAATGCACGATAAGCACATTCATCAGACATTATAAGGCGTTTATGAGGCCTTGTGAAACTCTTTAAAGGTAAAGATTAACAATGTAAAGTTAGTATTTTGCATGGTGCTGGATTCTCATGTGAAAAAATGTAAGTGGAAACTAATGAGCCCCGTGTATACGCGGCGGTTCTGTATGAATCATCACTGCGAATGAGAGGTTGGTTCAAGTCTCTCCTTCCTTCACACTCTGTCAGCGGTCTCGTCAATATGCAGCTGCTGCCTGTGATAAGGCGCCCCCCCGCTGAGCTGGGACCTTATAACTGGACACACACTGTATCTCCATCACACACACACACACACACACACACACACACACACACACACACACAC